AAGTTTCTCAATATCTAGAAGAAGAAAAAAAAAGTTAGCTTTTTATGCTGATCATGGTATGTAAAAAGTGCATTTCATTTTTAAAATTGAAAGTATAGTTATGACATTTCTATAGGGAAGTCACCACATGATCAGTAAATTTAGGAAAGGTAATGGTCTGATTTCTAGACCCAGTCTTCTGCCAACTATGCTATTTAAAAATAATCAGCATTTTACAGCATAGGAGATGCATTTTGCATATATTTCTACATTCCCTGTAATATTAGCAGTAGTTACTAGTTATAGAATTTATGTCATTTAATCCACATTGCAAACCTGGTAGGTAGTTATTAATCTAAAAATACAAAAACTGAAGCACAAAGCAGTTAAGTGAAAATGGGGGGAAATTCCCATTTTCCAATAATTTAATTATTAAATTAATTAATATTAAATTAATAATTAAAATTAATTAATAATTAAAATTAATTTATACTTAACCACCCTAGCCCTCAATTCCTCTACTTATCAAAGGACAATAATAATACCAGACATATTTAAAGCATGGACAGTTCGGTGAGGACCAAAGATCAGGTAAGAAATGTTTTAAGGGGCCGGCCCAGTGGCGCACTGGAGAGTGCGCCGCTTGGGAGCGTGGCGGCACTCCCACCAAGGGTTCGGATCCCATGTGGAGACCAGTTCCCACTCACTGGCTGAGCGCGGTGCGGGCACAACACCGAGGGTTGCAATCCCGTTGCTGGTCCCCGGTACGGGCGCGACACCAAGGGCTGCGATCCCATTACCGGTCAGTAAAAAAGACAGAAAGGAAAAAAAATAAAAAATAAATGTTTTGAGACTTTAAAAGCACTCTACAAAAATAAAGTATTACGTTTAATTATGGTTCAGTTTACTCTGCTTTGGTTAACAACAGACCTTATTATGACTGGTTTAAAATAAACTAAAATCTGAAAATACAATGCAGTCTTAGTAATTCCATTAAAAAAAAAAATGACCAGGGGCTGGTGAGTCAGCTCAGTTGGTTAGAGTGCAGCCTTATAATACCAAAGTCACGTGTTCAGATCCTCGTACTGGCCAGCTGCCAGGAAAAAAAAAGTTGAATTAGAAGTGGAATTAAGGTGTTACAAAACTAGGAAAATTGAATGGCCTCTAAGAAAAAACAAAAAAATCATGGCCAGAGTTGTTGCAAATTTACCCAGAAGCTGTGATGACACATCTAGACACCGAGAAAAGAAAATATACAGGTTTAATAAAAGAAAAAATATTATTGTCTTCTTTCAAAAACTTCTGACTTTCAGTTAAATATAAACTTGAAACATCTATAACTTTTCTCAAAATATTCCATTCTGCTGCCATCATATCACTAAAATATATAGCAAATAACAAACACCTCTGAATATCTTTTAAAGCAATAATTACTTCAATACATCTGGGATGACTGAGAACCACTGCTAGCTTAATTAAACTTATAAAACCCACCCAGACGGTCATCTTTTAGGAGAATTTCTAATGATTTCTTTTCTTCAACTCCACGAAACCCCACTTTTTCATAATATACTGAACGAAAGTTTCTCTGAGAGTCCTCAGTCATGTTTCATTCTTGGAGTGGGGTAGTGGGAGAGATGCCTAGAAACAAAAGAACAATTATTAAAAAAATTTTCAATGATTTTCAATAAATCTGATATGCTGATAAACAACCTGACCTTGTATAGGACTCAATATTAAATCTTTCCTTTTTCACCACTTTAACACCACCTCACCTATCCACCTTGGCCAAAAAACAAGTCAAAAATCCTCTGAGCAACTAAAATAGATGGCACAAGGTTTATGCACTAGAGCTCCTACTGTCTGAGAGCACAATGGGCTATTCTGTAGCCATCATCAATGCGCAAATAAAAAAGTTACAGAAATGGAAAGCCAGGCAAGATATGTTATGCAAGAGGGGTTACCAAACAGTATACACTATGATTCGGTTATTGTTTTCACAAAAGTGTACACCAAAAAATTTAAAGACTATATTCCCAAATGTCAGTGATGGTTATCTTTATTTAGGAGTCTACATTATTTTAACCTTCTTTCTTTTGCTTGACTGTGTTTTCTAAAATGGGCATTTTGTAAAATGAAAATTTAAGTTATATAAAAATAAAAAGCCACAAGTTCCTCCCTTATTTTTCTTTTACTTTTGAAACATAATTCTATCAAAGGTAGTTATCAAAATTCAAAACCCACGACAGATAAATGGCATTAAATTATAACCAGAAGGTAAGGAATGTAGCGGGTTGATGAATGACAGCACAGAGTGGGAGACAAAAATGATTTAAAATCTGGTATGAGAACTCAAAAAACTCAGTGGTCTCAGGTTCTTCCACAATAACCGTCATAATGTTGAGGGCAAATCATCAAGAAAAGATCAGACGAGGCTGGCAATTCAAGAACAAAAAAGATGTAATGCATTTTCCAAAAAGTATTGCACTGTCTCAACCAAACGCTTAAAGTGTAAGTGCAAAAAAGAGTAAATCCTCAGGAATTAAAAATCCTGAGACCTACCAATGGCCAGGGGAGGGTTTCTTTCTTTTTGAAAAGACAGCATCTGAACTGATTCTGTTACCGGAAAGATTAGGATTCTTTTAGAAAAAGAAATTCTAAAGGGCTCTGAGCTTTCAGGAGCAGGTGTTAAAAAAAAAAAAAA